AAAATGAGGACCCGGATTGTTGTTGGGAGCAATATGCTGACTCTGTAAACCGCTTAGAGAGGGCTGAAAGCCCTATGAAGCAGTATATAAGTCTACTGCTATTGCTTATCTTTGATGAGACCTGGATGTTGCTATTTTCCTTGCCTCCTCGTTGTGATATCACTATAGGATACCAATGTATATGTAGCTAGTCTAATGCTTGCTATGTGGCCCACTTAAGTAGCCCCACTACAGTCTTAACTATCTTCCCTCTCTTTCCTATGATCCAGCCACTTCTCCCAATGTCCTCCCTATAGCTCAAAGTCGGGTGAATCTGTTAGTTGATGTCTTATTCATTCTTAGCACAAAGCTTTATATCATCCATATAGAGGAAGTGGCCAATGATAGTTCCATTCTTGAACTTGTATCCATATCCAGTCATTGTGATTATTTGGCTAAGGGCGGTGTTCAAGCCTGTGTAGAACAGCAGCAGGGACAGGGCATCACCTTAGTATACTTAATCACTTGTGCAAACTTTCTCAAATTGACTTTCAATGTTGTCTTCAACAGCCCAACTGAGTTCTTGAGGAAGGTCCTTAATGTTATGTTGACTTTACATAGTACCTAGAATTCACAGAATCATGTGTGCAGCACAAAGTCCAAAGCTTTCTGGTAGTCAATCCAGGTTGCTCTCAGATTGGTCTCTCTAGACCTTGAGTTTGGACGATTGTTCTATCTATGAGCAACTGGTGTTTTGAGCTTCTAGTATTGTTTTCAATGCCCTTCTGAGCTGTGCTCATGTACTGGCCCATATGGTCCTGTAACTTGGCAACTATAATGCATGATAGGATTTTCCATGGGAGGGGGGGCTGGTTATTGTTTGGCAGTTAGGTGGTACTGTTTCCTTGGGCGAGGGGGTATTTCATGATCAGCATTGTCCTTTCTTATGTTAGCCAATTTGGATAAGAACTTCTTGCTGACAACTGGCTCATTTGTGCTGCTAGGTGTTCAGGACCCGATGTAACTTTTTTTTTTTTTTAGCCAGTAGGTGTGGATCATCTGGGGCAGGTGCTGTCAAATTCTTCATGCTCGCTACTGGATGTCTGCTACTGTGACAGCAACTTGTTCCAATTTTGGGGAAATAATTATGATCTGTTCTTAGATCCTGCAGCCACTTTGCATTGGTGTTCTGTCTTTTCTTTCTCTCATATGTTCTTCCATTACTGTTTACTGTGTTGTTGCACTGCAATTGGGAGTACACCTTGGACAGTTCTTTGGGGAATAGAGTCTTCTATCTTCTTGGCTTTGCTTCTCTAGTATATCTCCTTAGCCTATCAGTCAGTGCTTTGAGTCTTTGTTTAGCAGTCTATAGGGCTTGGGAGTTAGGTCCTTGTATTTTTTTTAGTAGCTGAGTCTTATTCACACACTTCTGTAATTCAACCAGCTGGCTAACCTCTGAGTTGATATTATTTGAGCCATTAATCTCATTTTAAGGGGAGAGGTGTGTCTATGGTAGTGGTCATATACTGCTGTTCTTGGTCATGTAGACAAGCATCCCCAGGATTACAATGGCTGTAAGGTATACCAGCTCACTGGTTTGAGTTCTTGTGATCCTCTTGAGGGCTCTATCGGCATCTTCTAGCCTACTATTTGATGTTACTTATCCACTGAGCCTTGATAATTGGCCCCTAGAACTGATTCTAGCTAGTTTATCCATGATCCTGTGCCTCATATTACTTACTGTGAGTCATGATGGCTCAGTGGTTAGAATGCCATATTGCAGGCTAACTCTGCCCACAGCCAGGAGCTTGATCTTGACCAGCTCAAGAACCAGCAAAAAGTGCTCTTGCTTTGCTCTTGCTACTGAGTTTTGTAATGGCGGGGACGACAGTGACATTCCAGTTACAGTGTTGGTTCCACATCCAATTGTTCTTCAAGGTATTCTTGAGTCTGGGATGCAATGTGTAGTTGGTCTACTTCAAATTGTGAGAGCAGTTTCCTCTTCACTATGTTGAAGCACTGAGTAACTAACTGTGTGGATACAGGTCTTTTATCTATAGTTCCCACATAGGTTTCATATATCCTCTCTGATTAGATCTTCTGTGGTAGTAGCATTCCATCAGTTTCTGGTTCTCATGTCTCACCCAAGTATGGTTTGTTCCAGAAACCCACAATTATCAGATTGCCCTGGTTCCTCAGCATCTGACACAGATTGTATTAATCCAGACAATATCTGAGTCAGTGTGAGTGTTCTAATTCACCTATATTCTTATATCTGAGATAGGAAGATGAAGTGTTAGGGGGTCTTTTTCCAGAGATTACCAGTAATGTGGGTATCAACCAGTATTCAAACCCCAGGCAGCACTCTAACCACATTGTCCAGTCACTCTAGAGATATCTTAAGTCCCACCAATTACTACCTGGATCCTACTACAATACTAACTTTTGTCAGTTTCAGCCAGAATACAAATACATCCAAATGAGTGAGAGTTAGTTGGAACTGAAGCAACACTTGTCATGCAAGAGTAGTCTTTCCTTAAACCTGAATCAAATATACATCTAAATAATGAGAGCTAACCAGATCAAATGCTATTTCAAGTTTCATATGAATGTCATATTACTTTCCCTCCAAACCTGTCAAAAAAATAATTCAGTCTCAGATAGATCCCAGATTATGCTGTACTGAAATGCTCTTTGCTCCAGAATTCTCTATTGAAGACCAATGACACTTTTCTATCTTTCTTTTTCTCTTTCCTATTTTGGGGAAACAAGTTATGTTCTGGTATTATTGGTTCAGAAGTTCCAACATTACCCATAATTTCTAAGGGGCAGACTGATATATACCTTCAACATTTTGAAGTGAAATAACTTCAATCTTCGCCAAACTAGAAAAGGCCAGAAAATGTTATCACTGTTCAAAGGAGCAGAAATCTATACTACAAGTAGGATAAATGTGGATGGCTCTATTTTATCATTCCTTCATTAGAAAACATTCAAGATTCCCGTGTCCAAGTGGATCTGGGTATCCCTAAGCACTATGCCACAGGAATATTTACTATTCAATTTGCAGAGACCAGCCTATTTGCTATATAATTTCCCCCTATTGCATACATACCGTATGCCTTACAAGAGGATTGCCTTCAGGATCCCTTTGTATGGTAGGTTTCCATTTCTAGAATAAGAAGCAAGACAGAACAAGTGATGGAATTAGCAAATGGAAATTACAATCTAAATGGAAACATATGAGACTGAAGTTAGGCTAAGCTGCCTTCCCTAACGCCTGTAAGTTAACCAAATGCATTTTCTTTTAACATTAATCAAAGAGAGTTTTTCAAAATTTTATCCACGAGTAAAGGAAGAAAATAAATTTCTAAATAAGAAGGAATGAAAATAAGAAAAAAATGCTTTATAATTATATAAAAAATACTTAATCTACTGAATTTAGTTCAGGGAAAATAGAAAGCATTTTCAATTGCTCTTCCACCCATTTTTGTTCCATCCAATTTTCAGTTTTAACAATTGAACATTTTGAAGAACAGATTCTCAATTATTTTTTCTTTGGGAATGAGTACAGCGTATGTTGTGATTCAATTCTGCTCAACCCACATACATAAATTATAGATTTTATGTCAGGCAATTTATATTATAGTACTAGCCTAATAGAACAGGTATGCAGACCACTTACTGGGGTAGCAGACTGCCTCCGGTGGGGGTGGCCTGGGGCCAACTGAGCCTTTGGAAATTGCCCACCCTGACAGCCGAAGAAATGAAGACAGCAAAGAAAATGAGAGTGAAGATAGTCAGCGTGCTCAAAGATATTGGAAAGACCCTTGCCTGAAACATCTGCATAAGAAAGCTCTTCAATCTTTTCATTTTCATTCATTAGGTTAATAGTATGCTGATGGAAATGTTCTATAAATCTCTCTCTCTCACACACACACACAGACACACATAATGTTGCATTCCATACTGACCTAGAAGATTGACAATGTGAGACTCATTGTCCTAATTCTAGCAGCCTTATAAACAGAGTTTATAAAGAACTAGAAACCCATATTGTTTGGGTCATTATTTCAGAGATATTTCCTTACCTAAACAAACAAGCAAACAAACAAAAAACAGAATGACCAAGGGCAGGCAAAAAACCAGCAGGGACAGGATCAACTTACTTACTTACTTACTCTCTTCCCTTCCTATTCTGACAAGACAGAGGAGGAATAGATAGACACAAAGCTGAAGGAGCAACAAGAACGTCTAGCTCCAAGTTCCTTATTAGTCAGATTCAATATAATTGTTTCCCAAGAACCTTGTCGTATCCAATGTTAGCCTAAGGAAGTGTGCCTGCCCTGAGGCAGAGAAGAATATGGAAACCAAGCTCCTGTGGGTCCAAATATTACATTACAGTGTTGCACAAGCTTCCAGCATGTATCATCCTTGAAATTAATTCCACCTCATAAACTGGTCTGCTTCCAGTATCAACATATATCAATAAGGGCAGGGCTGGGAGTGGAGACTCAGATCCCTGTGGAACATTAACTGTCATTTTTATTTGCACAAAGAACTAATGCCACTCACTGAGGTCAAAGTTGGCTTTTTCTGCCCACATTGTTTTGGGGTGAAGACATTCTTTGCTGAAGTTTCCTGGGAGCGAGAAACATAGGGCAAAGTTGTAGCAAGTTAAAGAGAAATGCTATGCATAGATGAGCACACTGCACGGGCTTCTCCCTAAAAACAAATGTGTCAAGCCATGCACAAAGCCACTTTCTGACACGCTACATGGCATATTCCAATATGCACAGGCACTATGAACCAAGAAGCACTTCACAATGAAAAGGGATGTGGTTGCTTGGGAGAAAAAGAGTTCCCTAGGATGTAGCATCGTTCCTGCTTTGCTACTCTCTTACTGCTCATTCATTTAAGAAAAAAAAAACATGCTGGAGGACGCAGAGAGAGAAAACCATGCAAGCAGGTCAGAGGAGCAAAAGAGAGAAATGAAATGAAGTGGAATGAAAGTGAGATAAATTCCAACTGCAGGAAGATCACGCAGCAGCTACTTACTGCTATAACTTTCCTCGAGCTGCAGCTGTCCTTCTTGGGCGATATTTTTTTCTGGAGGGATCAAGAGCCATTTAGTGCTAGAGTGACAGGGTTAACATACATCTCAGATACATTTAATTTTTAGAGATCATTGATGTGGAATCTGTATTCATTGGGGTCTTTAACCAGGGATCTCAGGTTCAGGATAAAATCATGCATTTGCTAGCTGTGAGCATTTCCAGTTAATGCAGCCACGTATTATTAAATTAAATTTTTACATTTCCTGATCATTTCCAGAGATTTTTACAGACTCAAGAGAAAGACATTAGAGCACACAAAATAATTGTTAGATTGGAATCCATAGGCGCCCTGATTTTGAAAATCATATCAAATGTACCAACAATTCAAAATGATCTTTATATATCCTAAGGGAATGTTCCTTATATAACTCTTCCTTAAGGATTATCTAGCCCAAGATTCCTTTCATGCCTGCATGTTTCAGAGGGAAGGGAATCAGCCAGCATGCAGAAATTTTAACTTCATCTTGATATACTTCACAAGTAATTTAAATTTCCCTTTGGATGTCTACAAAAGAGAACATGTAGCTTTGGATCACTTTGCTCAATACATAAATGGATAAGTGTACTGTTTTTGATTCATCTGTTTAATTGAGTTCTCTTTATTTAATTTTAAGACACATAGAGAACAGATCGCATTTTAGGTCTTATTTATGCAGAAATATTGGAAATTCAAAAGGGCACATAAACACTTAAGCTTCACCTTATTTACAATATTCTAGTTACTAAAAAAAAAGATACACCAGGCATCAACAGTTTATCCTCAGCCTCTACAAATCATAACTGAGGTTGCAATTATATTGCCACATACTTGAAAATCAAGTATTAAGTCAAATAGGCCTTGTGTAGAAAATGTTCTTGACTTTGTGCTTTTCAATATAAGTTAGGCTAGAAGCTCATATCTTTATAAATAAAAACAAAGTTTCAGGAGGCTAACTCTATTTTAGCCCCACACATTTTTATTTCCCTTCAGAATTGCAATACACCGGTAATATACTTGAGCATTCCCCATCTGGTTTATACTAAATAGTATTCTTAGACTAGAGGTCCCAATAATGGTTCATCCCAAACTAAACAAAAAGTCACAATTAGGAATACCACTATGTGCAACAATATTGAAAGAAAATGCCTCAGTGCCTAAGTAGTCCAGAAATACCCTGGAAAGAACAGCGGAAATTCTGAAAGGCAAAAAGCATAGAATCATATCAGTCATAATAAAGATAAACTAAAATGTTTTTTAAAAATGTCCTTATGTCTCCTGGCCCTCTCGCAACTGTCTTCTATTTACAAAAACGCCAGCTACAAGGATTTGAGGCATGGCTGGATTCTGTCATATCTGGAATCACAACTTTCAGCTCTTTGCTAAGCTCCTCTAAGCAAGCTACTAAAGGGTCTGATAGGGAACTCTTTGAATGGATGTGGGCCAACATCACAAAGTACTTGTTCATCGGGCATTCCCAATGTTATTTAGCTGTTTACATTGTATGTGTCTGAAAACAAAGGAAAGACCATTGACTTAACTGAACAGTCCTCCTATGTGCGTTGCGAGGGGAGTCCAAGTATGGGTTAACTTTGTCCATTAGCCTTGAGACTGAGTTATGCAAATTGCTGGCCATGCCTCCTCTGACTGGACTGGTTCAGTTTTGCATGAAGGATCAATTGGCTTAAGAGAAGCAAAATAAGTCTAGAAGTCAAGGTAAGTCAGAATGTCATAGGAAAAAAGAAAGTCCATGCCCAGAACAGCCAAACTCAAGGGCGTGTTTGGATTCCCCTCACAGCGCACATAGTTCAGGTAAGTCAACGGTTGTCCTCCTGTGCGCTGCTTGAGGAATCCAAGCATGGGACATGCCAAAGCAATAGACTTCAGGGGCGAGACCGAGGCTGGTCTGGTGCCGTAGCCGAAGAAGCTACCCTTTGCAGCATGCACCATCCAAAGGATGTCTCAGCTGAGGCATAAACGTCCACCTTGTAGTGACGGATAAAGGGTGATGATGATGACCAGGTCGCTGCGCTGAATATGTCCTCCACCGAGGCCTGCGTTGCCCAGGCCACCGTCATGGCCACACTCCTGGTAGAATGGGGAGTGATGAGACTGGAAACTGGTCGGGACTGACAGTCGTAGGCTAGGGCAATACACGCCTTCAACCAGCGGCCGATGGTATGCGATGATGCCTTTTGGCCCATGGTGGCAGGTTGGAAAGACACGAACAGACCTCCGTCCTTCTGAATGACGCAGTGCGTAGCACATAGCGGCAAAGTGAATGATGAACATCAAGGTGATGCCAACGCCGTTCTTGGGGGTGAGATGGCTGTGGACAGAAATCCGGGAGAGTGATCTCTTGCGACCTGTGGAACCACAAGTTGACTTTTGGAAGAAAGGTTGGGTCGAAACGTAGTACGACCCTGCTCGTATGGAAATGCAGAAGTCATCCCGGATGGAGAGCGCCATCAACTCGGACACACGCCTGGCCGATGTGATGCCTACTAAAAAAATAGTCTTCAGAGTCAGTAACCTGATGGAGATGGTCTGAATAGACTTGAATGGAGCCGCTGTAAGGGCATTGAGTACTAGGGAGAAGTCCCAAGAAGGGTAGAGATGAACGATAGGCGGACTAAGGTTCGCCGCTTTCTTCAGGAAGGCCTGCACCCACGGCTGTTGAGACAGGGCGTGGCCCCGCCCACCGCCAATCACGGTAGACAGAGCTGCAATTTTACGGCGAAGGGTGTTAGATGTCAGCCCTTTGTCCATGCCCATCTGTAGGAAGTCCAATACCTGCGGTATGGTTGCCCCGGTTGGGTCCGCACCTGTTGCTCGACACCATCTGCAGAAGGCGCACCAGGTAGCCTCGTAGATGCGGGTTGTTGATGGGCAGCGAGCCGCCTGAATCGTGAAGATGACCTTATCAGAGAAACGCTGCTGACTCAGGATCGCCCGCTCACATGCCACACGGCTAACTGTAACAGCTGTGGATTCGGGTGGACGAGGGCTCCTTGCAAGAGGGATATCTGGTCGTCCAGAATTCTCCATGGGCATGAGATGGACAGATGGACGAGGTCCGCATACCAGGTGCCCCATGGCCACATCGGTGCGACCAGCAGCACCTCCGCCCATTCCGCCAGAATCTTCTGAATGACCAGTGGTACAATTGGCAGAGGCGGAAAGGCATAAAGGAGGCCCTTTGGCCAAGGACTGCGGAGGGCGTCGGTGCCTTCCGCCCCTGGTACTTGGAACCTGGTGTAAAATCGTGGCAGGTGTGTGTTGTTGGGTTGAGTGAACAGGTCCATCTGCGGGTGACCGAAGCGGTGGGACAGTTCTCGGAACAGGGTTGGGTGCAAGCGCCACTTCGCCTGATCCACTGTGGCCCTGCTCAACCAGTCTGCTTGGACGTTCGCAGTGCCCGATATGTGTTTCACTCGGACTGACAACAGATGGTTCTCCGCCCAGTGGTGCAGACGTTCTGCTTCCATCATCAGGGATTTGGACCTCGT